ATGAATCGATTTCCTATCAATTCAGAAAAAAATACCGGTCGACGACTCCTACGCCTGCTACGGTCTATGATGCGATGATGGACATCTCAACGAAGCTCACTCTTGAGAGTCTAGCTGGAACGACCCTCCGCGTTTGGATGATCTCCCACTATCAAGCGGATAAAAATACAGAAGATGGGATCTTCACTCATATTGCTCTCATGCTCCACCAATATGTTTGGGTCAAACAGGATTTCATAGATCCACAAGGACATAGTAACATGGCTTTGAGAGGGATACTGCAACAAATTGTGCCATTATTTGACCTCGGAGAAAAGATATGTGGATACCAAATTTTGATTATCTTCGACGATTTTACTACCGGAGTATCTCCAACTTCGTCACTCACCACAATCCGCGACTACATTCAACTGGTTGAGCAAGTTGATGGTATTTGAGGTTGATGGTAGCATATCTCGGGTTATATATACTATGACCATGGCCTAAATGTACGCTATATATCGAGATTTACAAATTAATTCACCGTGCTTTAGTCACTTTTTGATAGAAACTTTCTCCGCTGTAGGTAGTAGATTAGGAGGGGGGCTAGGAAGACTCGCGGTGGAGTGATTCCAACTGCTATAGGACTTGCACTAAAAATTTCGGATGGCAAGCTAAGTGTTCTTACCTAATATTATATCGATCAAATTTAGAGCGACCTGAATATATAAATGGCATGATCTCCTTCCAATCTCTAATTTCATTCTCAGTTATGTCGACTGGAATAGATAACGCCGGTTCCCTTTCGGGATACCACTCTATTCCCGAGCCGATCGATACAGCCACTGTCAATATCCCTCTACGTGATCTGAACAAACTGTTTCCCGGCATTCAATGCTTCGCAGCAATGGCTGTCAAATTTTCCGGCAACCCCGATAGCCTAGACGAGCTAAGAGTTTTATTGATCTTGCGAAATGGCAAGAAAGGCTCATGGGGTAATACCTGGGAAACAGCAGCAGGAACTCCAGAAGAAAAGGACCCGACCATCATCAATTCCGCAGCCCGAGAAAGCGAAGAGGAGACAGGAATTTGGCCTTCGAAAATTGCTGGCAATGCTTTCACGTGTTCTTTCCACCACAAAGATAGAAAAACTGGCGATCCAGTCCTTATGCGCACGCTCGGATTCATCATCATACCCGACAACAAAGAGACGATGGCTCAACGAGTCTGGTCCAGCGAGATGCAACAGCCGGTCGGCCACAGTTCCGTCGAGATCAGTGATGAGCATCTCGATCATTGCTGGTTCACTGAGGACGAAGTTCGCGGCGCTACTTTATACGAGCAAGCCACTCCACCGGGTCCATTCGCTATGCTTCTAGCCAAAAGGGACATGGTTTTACTTGCCTTTGATTTGTTTAGGCAATCCCAACGCAAGAAATGGCCTAATTCACTAGATATAGTGCGCTAGAGCGTGGCAATGATGGAAGGGGAACTTGGCAAAATGGCCGAACGGAGGAAACCCGGCACCTTCCATTCGGATTTAGATCCTTTGTCAGAGCTTTCAAGTGGCGATTTAGTAGTTGATTTGTCGCAGGTAAATCCACTGTTATGCAAACTCTGTCATTTAGAATCTGGTGTTCGTACCGATTATCGACGCATGGTCCAAGGGTAATTCACCATCCCCTCAATTGCATGCCTTCCTATTCAGTCAATCGAGGGATAGTGGGGTAGTGGAATAGTGGGTATCAAAAATATATTCTTCCACGGCGAATCGCTCATCGGCTTCGAGTTCTTGCTCAGAGCTAAACTAATTTCCGACTTGTCCTCATAGCAGCCAATCAGTCCTGGATTAGCAGGATGCACAGGCCGTTTTTGCAAGCGGTTAAAAGAGAAAGGACAAAGGGTACTAGAAGAGGGGTCTAAACATATTAAACTCGACGCCTTGCTGTCTCGCCCTTTTACTT